ACCCGGGTGCCACTCACCCCCCCCCCTCCCCCCCCTCCCCCCCCCCCCCCCCCCCCCCCCCCCCCCCCCCCCCCCCCCCCCGTCCCTCTCTCTCTCCCCACATATATGTGCATATGCCCAAAAAGTTTCTAGCTTCCAGTTAACTTTTGTGGTATGCAGCCACTGCACCATTTCTCAGTTTCACCTGACGTTGGCAGTAAGAGGACGATTAGTGCCCCTTGACAACAGTCTGATAAGAGCATGAATCTTGTAGCACCACTTCAATGCTTCTTCTACAGAAGCATAGTCTAGTGTAGTTTTCAATAACTTCCATGTGATGTGTCCCAGTCACTCAGATTTTCTACCAAAATGTATCACTATACTAGACAAAAAGGACAAATGTTTTCATGTCGGATATTAGTGCTTCTGCTATTTTATATTAATATTATTCTATATAAAACCTTTTCTTTTTTTTAATAACTTTGATGTAATGTGACCCAGCAATTCAAATTTTGTATCAAACCTTTTTTTCATTTTCTCTAGTTTTACACAATTGGTCAATGCTTTTCTTTACACAGGGCTCAACAGGCCTACAACAAGTAAAAACTACATAGAACTGTGTCAAAAACAAGTACAGTCTGTTTAAAAATGATTAAACTATATACTTAATTGTAGCAGATGTGTTGCAGCTTAGCAACCTTGTGGGTGTTTTTTAAATTTCACATGAAGAAAGATAAGCTACATCTTGTAGTTAAAATTAAAAAGACCAAACTACGAGCAAGACTTTGTAGACAGAGTGAAATTTATCTTTGCTTTATTTATTCTGCTTATTGCTGGTTGGGTAGATACACATTTGACAGTGGTCTGACTTCTGTTCTGAAATAAGAAGCCACACAACAATCCCACCAGCAGCACAATCAACAAAGCTATCACTGTGCTGCACTCGCACAGATAAGTCTGTTCACTAAGTGAGCTATACTGCACATCAGAAAGTTACACTCTGGCTGTAATGTAGAGTAAAAGTAAAATGATTATGGTTAATGACAGTTTGCAAGTTTATATTAACCACATAAGACATGTCTTTTAAAGTTTACAGCAGTTTTACTACATGATAGAACTGCTAATATAGGATAAGAAATAAGATAAGACACACACACACAGAGACATACATACATACATA